GTTGACCTCCTTGATAATATCATTCCTGCTACTTTGGATGTATATGCGGTTCTCTTTTGTTCAGGCTCTTTCGATGAATATATTGAAACAGTTTTCTGAATATGGACTTTTACTCTTCGTTGGAACTATAAAAACTACAATAAAGCACCTTTGGTGTTCTTGTCAGATATTTTTTATTGGCAAAAAAAAGAGCACCCAATATTAGATGTAATTAAAATGTTTTTGGTAAATTTCAACGATTATTTCATTAGAAATTTCCATAGTAAAATACGGGCAAATACATCTTTCTGTAATAGTCCTGATACTAATATTAAACAGGCTTGTGTTTTAGGTATTAAAAAAAAAAAAAAAAAAAATCTTTAGTCAAAATAATTTAATCGATCTAGCTAATTTTTTTTTTTTTAAAAAAAAAAAAATAGATGCGAATAAAGAATCGCAATTTAAAGAAATGTTTTATACAAAAAAAAGGTATCCATATACGCCCTCTAATTTAGAATATTTGGCGAATAAAACATCATTATTTTTGTTGAATTATTTTCACAAAGTGTTTCAACATATTAAGATGGTTGGTAGTATAACAGGTAAATCATGGAAAAAACAAGGAAAAAAGAAAAAAGAAGTTTTAAAATACAAGCTTGCTATCTTAAATAAAGAAGTCGATATTATGTCCTTACCTACAGGTTATAGTACAAGCATTCCTCCTTCACAAGGACTTTGTGATAACTGCTTTGATTCATTGAGTGAAAAGAATGATGGTACTGCTATGAAAAAATGGAATATAGTTGCCGGCATTGTGAACAGTACTATAAGAATGGTATATACAAAAATGTTAATTCTTTTTTGAAAAGACTTGAAAAAGAAGCAAATTATGTTACCGAGGAGGACGGAATTGAAGAAGAATCACAGGATTCCGAAGAGACAGAAGAAAACACAGAAAAACATGAGTTTATTCAAGAGAGAGATAAAGACGTATTGAAATTACAAAATGTATTAGAAGATATAGATAAATGGTAATAAAGCATCATATAAATGCGTCTCACTAGCTTTCTTACCTTCTAAGTTGTAGAAGTTAAAGTAACCACTACGGCGTTCATACCTTTGTCAACTTTTACGTATAAGCCAGCTACCTTTAAATACTTGATCCCACTTGATCCGAAAGTTTTAAAAGACCTGTTAGGGCACGAAGAACATACTAGTAAAAAAAAAAATTGGTTGTTACATAAATTACTTTAAAAGTCGCTATATTACTAACGCTAATACATAGGAATTTTATAAGGATCTACGATTTATTGACCAATCATATTCGATCTAATGATCAAAATCGATAGCCAATAAAAACCAATTTCCATCATGCTACGGTCGCCCCTGTATCAATTTATACAATAATCTAATTTTTCAGGAGTTGAGTCCGTTAAGTCGAACTTAAAAGCCCAAAGCCCAGCTTTCTTTTAACAGTACTTAAATGCGAACATTTGAAGACTGTATAATTTAAAACCTTGATCTAACAACCCTTTTTTTTTTATAGGGTTACTCTGATTTGCTAAAATTTAAAATCAATTGAAAAAAAAGTTATGGTGGTTTGCAAAAAGGTGTGACCTTTGAGATTAGTGAAATCAGAGTTTGATTTTTAGACAATTTTAAAGATTTCAAATAAATATAGTCGATAGGCAATTTAAAATTAAGAAATTTTTTGCTGTCATCATGAAATCACGTTCACACTTCTTTAGCGAACTGCCTTTAAATCGGTTGGTGAGTACAATAGTGATTCAGAATTAATGACAGATTCCTGATTTCGAATAAAATTAATGACACATTTGTTTATTTTGTTTCGAAATACTGAAATAAGTGGTATATTTATTATTATTATTTTTTATTATAATATATCGTCAAAAAATACTCTTATTTCATTTGCTGGTTTTGAATTTCAAAACAGAAATAGGGTTTTTTAAACTCCCACTTATTTTCAAAATAAGTTAATTCTATATCATCCAATGATAATTTATTAATTATGATAATTGAAATAAACTTATTCAATTTCTTTTTGTTCATTGATTTGTCGTAAGGATGTGCTAGTATAATATATTTTTCTTCTCATCGTTTACAGTATATTATAACAGTACTCCAGGTCGTACTCCGAAGTATACTATAATAGAATACAGAGAGTATGCACCACACCACCCTGGAGCACTCTGTCAACATCCCTAATCTTGAGAAGACTACGATCCTAATCAGTAAGTTGACATGCATATTTCACTTTCTAAAATAATTTATTATATCGAAGACTTATTAAAAAATCGTACTTTTATTTAGCTACCTTCTTCATATGTTTGTTTGTCTTGATTTATGTTTTCTTTCGCTTTAAAATTAGTTAACTGACGTTTGCAACGAGCCTACCTCTTTTCTGATTCACTTTTTTTTTGATAAGCTAACTGCTGTTCTTCAGTTTTGAAATTTTCTGCTTCTTCTCGCTTCATTTTTTATAGCTACTTGTTCAAGTGTGTAAGTTCTTTTCGCTTTTGCATTTTGACTAAATTAAAGAAAACATGATAGTATTTCTTTTACTTATCAAATATGCTTGCTTACGATTCGATGACATACTTATGACAATATAAATTCTTATTTTCATTGATAAACTTAAGCATATTTGCTTATTTATATTTTCTTATATTTTTTTCTATAAGTGATAAATATTATTTTATTTTAAATGTTTGTTTACAATACGATTATATATTACATACAGAGTAATTATTTTCTAACCAATAATCTATTCTTTTTTATTAAAAAGTCATTTAATATATTCTATTAAAAGTCAGCTACTATGTTTTAAACCAAAGATTTCGGTAACCAAACGTTGAACCTAATTTAGGTTCAATTCTGGTTATTTTGAACCTATAATTTCTATAATTCAGTATAGTAAGGCTTACGATACGATGACATATTTATTATGATATTTAATATAGAATATTTCTTATTCTTTTTTATAAAAGTCAGTCAATGTATTCTATTAAAAGTCAACTACCATCATATTTTAAACCAAGATTTGGTATCCAAACGTTGAACCTAATTTAGGTTCAACTTTGATTATTTTGAACCTAAAATTTGGGTCAAGCAAAGTGGGAGCCAGACATTTTTCAAAATTCAGTAGATTAAGGCTTACGATACGATGAACATAGAGTAATTCTTATTTCCGACTTATAAACTATTTTTTCTTATTAAAAGTCAGCTGCCATGTTTTATATCAAGATTTCGGTATCCAAACGTTGAACCTAATTTAGGTTCAACTCTGGTTATTTTAAACCTAAAATTTGAGTTAAGTGAAGCACATTCCTGCAGGGATGGTAATGTCCAGGTCATTTACCTATTTTGCAAATGACCCGAAATGACTCCAGAATGACCGGTCATTTTGGTAATCTAATTTTCATGTCTTGACCGGTCTACCATCATGCATACAAAGCGAAGAATAAGCCTTATTTTAAGCAAATATGCGCATACAATATTTAAATACCTTCTACTATTTGGACTAACTTCAAGCAAGGGACACGAAAATTATTTGACTTAGGGTGCTCTCAAGTATCTAAATTAATAGTTCGGAGCTTATTTAAGTGAATTCATTAATGCGAGGAAAAAAAGATGGTCTCGACCATCTTTTCTTATTATAGAGTTGTACTACTAGCTAACATTTAATATCCGCATTCCGTGGTATGAATTTCAGCAAAATTATCATAAGGATCATGTCAATTAATCGCACGATTCAAGACCTGCCATCAGACTTTCGATTATATTTCGTACCGGGCAAATTTCTAACAAATTTGATTGAAAACCTAATGGCAAGTTTTCCCTTAGCGACGCTCATGCAATACCAATTTCAAAACAAAATTAATTTAAATCGAAAAAAATAAAAAATAAATCAAAGAAATAAAAAAAAAATAAAAAAATAAAAGCTCAATTACGGTGCAGAAATAATTTCACACCAACAGTTCAGCAGTTAAACTCATACGTACGCACATATGTATGTACATACTAGGGCCGGCATCAAGTACGTGCATGGGTACTATGTTTTAATATTTCCAAAATCTGTTTGAATTCCAATGCGTATACGTAGTTAGTTTATTAATTGGATATGCGTGAGATTTTTTTTAAAATAAACACCCGATAATAAACTAGTCAGGCAAAAATTTTTCGAAAAACTCGAAAATAAGCTACTCTTCATTTTTTTTATATTCAAAATTACTTTTAAAAAAGTAACTTATTTTTCAGGAATATATAGTATATTTTTCAAATGACCCAATATGTCATTTCACTCTTTTAAATGACCGGACATTGGTCATTATTCACTTGAGTCACGAGGTCATTTCAGGTCATTTACCATCCCTGCATTCCTGTAAGGCTTGAAAGGCTTTCGCTCAGCTCCAGCAAAAGAATATTGACTTAATTTGTATTATTTGTATTACAAACCTTTTGAAATCAGAAATGGAATGAATGTGTTCGGAGATACCATTTCATGAAATTAAACTTTTAATGACAAAGATTATTGATTCAAGTTTATCGGAAAATGAATAAAGTAATACCGACATCTAGATATAACGACATTATAGTAAAATCTTTCTATATTGACATTTTTTTTCAAAATTATTAGAATAAAATTTCGGTATAACTCACCGTATCGACATATTGAATTTTTTTGCCAATGAAAAAAAATTGTCGATATCTCCAGAGTAATGTGTACATTGCTTATTTGAAAATAAATGTCATCTATTTTTACTAAAATCAGATTCCCGTATTTTTAATTCTGAACCCTCCACTGTATTGAAATAATTTACACTAATTCCAACTGTTTAAATTAAAGAATATTTAGTCAAAAAAGAATAAATAAAGAATAAATGAATTAAGTACATATCATTTTTTTATACTAGATCTTTTTAGGTGCATTAAGGTACTATATCAAGAAGAGAAAAATTGGATTTATTAAGAGGAAATAAACATTTTAATCATTAGTATGACTATTTTAAATGTTTCTACAAGTAAAAAAGTTCATTAGTGTTTATATTAATATAGTGGTGAACGTATAAATCAGAATTTTTTGAGAGCTTACCATTTCAGAACCATTGGGAGATGAAGAGAACAATTCTCCTATTGCAACTATTAATATATATTAAAAAAATATTTAATTCAATACTTTCATTATTAAATTCTAAAATTATATCGATAGATTATTATTACCAACAAATAAAATAAGGCAAACCAGAAAAAATAACGTGAACCAAAACTTAAAAGTAGGTCTACGTTTGTACGGATGGATCATTGGCATGTTCCAAAGTTTTTCTAAATTTGTAATATCATAAAATTTTCTATCGAACGGCGAAACTTTTGGATTTACATATTTATCAGGAGTTGGTGGTAATGTTTTAATTACTGTGACTGTAGTACTATTTGGAGGTATTTCGTTGATAATGAAGTCGGTTTCAGCCGGGTTATCGTCAATAACGTTAGTGTTCTTCCTTGATTGTATATTTAATTTTTCGTTATTCCCTTGAGAATTTGAGAACTCTTGATTAGATAGGTCGTGAGTATGCATTTCAAGTCGTTGATGTTATTGAGAGTCGAATTGTTTGAAGATTCACGATTAGCTTCTCTTTTATATTCTATTATATCAATTATATCAAAAACCTAACTCTATATAAACAAAAATTTCTTGAATCTAATTTTATATTATAATGTACAGTATATAGTAAAAAGAAAGTGTAATGAAGCCCTCAAGAGTTTACTTTCGTTTTTGTTTATTAAAAAACAAAAAACACGCATAGCCTTAATTTATCTTTTTCCGTCATGTAATGGCAACTTTATTGTGTAAATATTTTTAAAAAAAATTAACGTCGTGAAACTTAATCTGCCAGACATGTCTATTCTAATTATTATTCACAATTAGCATGCATTGGTGCAGTTTACAGAGAAATTATCATCATCGTACACTGATACACAAAATTGTACGCTTAAAAAAAAAAAATCAATTGAAAATTTTTCGTGTCATTTAGTTCATTCAAGTTTTTTTTAAAATTAATTTAACTGATGAAAAATTGAATGGTAAAATATATATATATACATTAATACTTTCAATAAAAACCTTTAGACCACTCTGCTTTTTATGTATGATAAATTGTGCATTTATTTCCTAGCATGCGAGAAATGTTATCGTTATTCATTTGTTTAACATTTGAAAGATATATTGTCACTAAGAATTTTTGCATTAACGCATTAGAGTAATAATTAATTGGATCACTTAAATTTTTAAAATAGAACTGTTTTGGTTCCCTCCAGCTTCATGCCTACCCTTTATCAATCGTCGACCAATTTATTAACCGGGTATCAGTTGAATTATTTGAATTATTATTATTGCAATTTAAAATTTGTAAATCGAAAAAAAAACGCACAATTGTTAGATGATTTCTGATTCCTTGGAAGTTATCATATTAGAGTAGTTTTAAAAATCAGAAAGATGATCTACAACTTCACAATCCGAAATACCGTAAAATTACCAATAAAAAGACAATACCGTAAATAGCCATATAAAAGTTCCTCCCAAATAGTAAACCTAGACCCGGCACAGATCTCAGGACCTCCTTGATTGAAGGTCATAAATGAAAACGTGTATATATTTCAATTTTTACTTTCTACGATATAAACTCTCAGCTATGTACTATTACCCGAGGTTGGTGGAATGTACGTACCAGACCCGGTCTTTTGTATGGCCATTTACGGTAATTGGTTCCACCGAAAGCTCATTTAGCCGACATCACGTCAAGTGACAATAATATATAACTGCAACTAATCAAATGCCAATCCTACGTAACTCTATGTGATGTCGGCTAAATGAACTGTCGGTGAACGATCTTGTAATACCTAAGTTTTGCCTCGACAAACGGATTTCTTTAAATGCAACGTACATTTAAAGAATGATAAGAGAAATTGATTTATAGAGATTAAGCATATATTTGAGCCGGAGGTTTAACCTGCATTTTAGAGAGGTGCTCCATTTAGGGAGGTTGCATTTAGCGCTAGGGGGGCTGCATTTAGGGAGGTCTAACTGTACGTTAAACATTCGCCAAACACCGTTTAATATGTCAAGAGGATTCATGGGTCTTTGTTTTTTTTAGATATATACATTATTTATTGATTTGATAAAATGTGTCATACATTTTTTTTTATTGTAATACAGATGTGTTTATATACTTTGGTTATCGATGAATATATATTTAATCTATTTGCAAAATCATAACTTTTTTTTAAATATACTTATTTTTTTTAGCGATAATTTTTTAATAAGTTGTTTAATGTTTTCTCGTACTCGTAATAGTTAGATCAATGTTCCTTCGTCGATCTTTTAAATATAATATTAGCAGTCTATAATAATATAGGCAGTATAGTAATATCGGCGGTCTAAAATAATGTTGGCAACTAGGAATGCTATATGGTCTAGTCTTAGACCAATAGACCGCAGTTAGTCTTAAGACTAGTCAGGACCTAAGAAAATTAGTCTGCTCTTAGTCTTAAGACCAGCCTGAACCTAAAAAAAGTTGGTCCGTTCTTAGTCTTAAGACCAGACCAGTCTTGTCTAATTACTTCTTAGGACTGCAGACCATAATAAACCAGACCGGACTGGACCAAAAATAGACCAGACTGTTAACATTCCTATTGGCAACAAAAAAAAATTTTAGGCACAGCATTTTGAGGCAAAAATATTATAAAAATTTTCGTCATATATGCATCATTCATAATTTAGACATCCATGATATCTATTATTTGTTTAGACTCTCCTCCTGAAATAATGTTATCTCTAGACGACCCTTAATCTGTTATTAAAATTACTTATTGAGAGTAGTGCAATATTATCAAAAAATTAGATTTAGTTATTCCCGAACATTATATTAAAATTAGCTAAAGGTTTCTTAAACCTTAGGGAGGAGAGCAATTTTCTCATGATTCCAAGATTTATCTATGGGTTCAATACCGGAACTCGGTTCAAAGTGCTACTACATTACTAAGGACCTTGGTAAAAAATATTATTTATTTATACATCATGTAATGTAATGCATAATCCACGATTTAAAAATTTTTATACGTATCGTAAAAATTGTATTACACTAGGTACTTTATACGGTGAAATACATGATAATACGTATTATAATATTATAATTAGATCAATGCATAAACAAAATTACAAAGTATGTCTTTTGATATAAAATAAAAATTATAAATCATCAGGAATTTTTAAATCCACCTGCCTGCTACCCATTTTCGATAATCTTTCGGAAATCTTACTCGTGTTTATTAATTTGCTTGTATACATGTGATCAGGATGTTTTTGTTCGATAAATGAAAGAGTATTAATCATCTTATCTGCCTTCAAGAATTGTTCTTTATTTCCCATATTATGAATGGTATCAGAAACTTCATAAGCAGTAGGACGTTGAAGTGGATCAGGGTCCATACATGACTTAACATAGCATTCAGGAGTTCCTGGAGCGATTTCTGGACGTAAACCATTGCAAATTTGTATTGCAATATTCTTTTCAAATTCGTGACCATCGAAAGGTCTTTGCCCGGTTGACATTTCCGCCATTATGACTCCAAAACTGTAAATATCGGCGGCTTTCGTGAACTTTTGACCCATCAATACTTCTGGCGCTACGTAAGGCATTACTCCATAAATTTCTCCTTCTGGATCATTTTCTTCATATTTTTTTGATAATCCAAGATCCGAAATGAAAGAAAATGTACCGGTTTGTAAAACATTTCCGCTATGTAAATCTGTATGTACGTATTAATGATGGGTGACGCAACCACGTGATGCTAATTGTCACATGGTTTAATTATAAAAAATCAACATCAATTTTGATTTTTTATAAGCAATAGCATGTGACAATTAGCATCACGTGGTTGCGTCACCCATCATTAGTACGTATCCACATTTATGAATTCGGCATAAATCGCTTGAAATACCTTTAAGTTTATTTAATTTAGCATCCCAACTAAGTAATTTAAAATTTCTTTTTAAATATTTATTAAGATTTCCACCGTTTGTATATTGAAATACCATCATGTACTCTTTTGTTTCTGGGTTTTGTGTTAATCCATATACTTTGATTCCTCTCCCAGCATAAAACAAACAATTTATCATATTATCAAACTTTATATTTTATAAAATAAAATTAATCTAAAAACTTATTAAATTATAATAATAAAATAATAGACTAAATTACCTCTTTAAAAATATTGTGATCTTCTTTAGATCTATACAGGTGTTTTATTGCAACAATCGGATCTCGTTTAAAATCTTCCGAACTTTCCAACCAGGTAGCTGAAAATATTGAACCAAAACCTCCACCAATTTTCTTTAAGTTAATCAACTTATTAAAAGGGATCCATTCAATCATATATTCGTGTTTTTTAGCCATAATCTGATAAAATCGTCGGCTTCTTTATACCCGCTGCTCCATTTTCGAAGAATAATATCTGGATTACAGGTCTGACACCACACAAAATCGGTATTATATTTACCACAATATGTACAAACACCATAAAGTTCGTATCTAGGCTTATAAAGGTCAATGTAACGAATACAAGTTTTTCTTATCCATTTATCAGCATAATATTTATTTATTTTTACACCAAATCCATAACGGTAGCAAATTGCAGATTTCATTATTCCCATTTGATTTCCAGCTTCTGCAGATTGTAGATAATATACAAATGCTTCCATTGCATGTTTTCTAGTACCAATCCCCCAGTTGTAGCAGAATCCGGTCCAGAACAGACCCTCTCCATCGTTCAACTCTGCAGCTTTCTGGTAGAACTCAAATGCCTTGCGCTCGTCTTTTTCAACATCATTACCGTACATGTGCTGTCAGCCCTTGTAAAAGAATTCCTTGGCGTCCTTTTTTTCCTTCTGCATTAGAAAGAGAAAGATTTTTTTTTTTTGAGTTAGAGGTGTGATTCGTTGATCTGTAATCGGATTATTTGCTCAAATTCCGTGTTAAACAAATTTTCAGGTAGTATCACACGAAATTAATTCAAACTAAATAAAGTATATGTATCTCATATTGTTACATCTAACTAGTGTTAAAAGTTACTATAAATTATGTTAAAAGTTATGACGAGCATATGAATTAATGACGAACTCATGGTAAAACTCATGGTGAATTAACATAGCAGAAGTTCGTTTTGATTAGCTAAAATTAGAATAAATAATTTTTTTATAGTCAATTGTAATTTCTAAAATACTTTCATTAGTAAAATCATCATGCTACGTATATAAAAATTTTTTTTTGTAACATAAAACATAACAAATAAGAAAAATATTTTAAAAATGTTGAAAAGTGATTTAGTGATTTAAGTAATTAGTAAGTAAAAATTAAAAGCTTTTTTGTTTGCTTTTTACAATTAAGAATTATTTAGAACTACTTTACTATTCCTACTGTTCTAAATCATATTTTAATACTTTATTGCATTTATATCGTATAAACGCGAAATAACGTTCGTGGACGTCATTTTGCAAATCGAGTCCTTCAAAAATAGCAC